CCACCCTATGATTGCCCGAGGAGGCACATCTCCTCCATGAGGCCACAGGTGAGCTTAACAAGTGGGTGTTCTTGGTCGGTGTCCTTTTAATGCTTTTTAGAGGAAGAAAGTCAGTGAAAAATAGAGAAAGAAAAGTCTTCTTCTTCCCCTACTTTGCGAGTCTGTGGGAAGAAAAAATATTATAGTGTCATTCAAAACGACACCATTTTGGGCTTTTTTTTTAACAGTGTATGAAACGACATTGTTTTAGTCGAAACATCGTTGTTTTATTTAAATTAAAACGGCATCAAACTTATGTCAAAGTCCAAATCAGTCTTAAATTTATAATTTATTCAATCAATTTTTAAATTGCAATTTTGATTTAAAATTCAATGCAATTATATCCTTATCAAAAATCAAATAGTAGCCGTGAAGTCGGCTGCCTTTTTCACTTTGGTCCTTAGTCTTGAATTTATGCAATTTGACCCTCAATTGATTAATAATTTTTTATTTTTTTTTATTTGGCCCCTGATTTGGTTTAATTACAGGCCCTCTATTTCCGCGTGTTTTTCCTTTTGATTCTTGGTTTTGAATTTCTTCAATTAAGCTCCTAATTGGCCATTAAAATTCAATATTTATGCAATTAAGCCTCTAATTTGACCAAATTAATTTCAAAAAATATAATTTGACCCCAGAACTTTAATTTTTCTAATTAAATCATAAATTAACTTTAAAATCAATTTTTCTTGCAATCAAACCCTCTATAAATTCAATTAAACCTTTAATACCATTTAATTGAGTACATAAACATCTGATTTTAGACTTTTTTTCTCAAATTGAATTTTCTTTATCAATCATGCTCTTATTAGTCAATGATATATTGTCAAATTTCAATACTTGTATTTTTAAACTTACTCAACCAATTTTAGTCATTTTCTAGGCACTTTGGCATCCTTTTTTTACTGTTATTATATTTTTTGATTTTTTTGAACATATATTTTTTTATTTTCTTTTTTTTTTTATGTAGGGACTTAAAAATGGGTTACAACAAATCTAATACTAACTAATATGAACCTCGTGGTCACAAAACTCACAACAAGATTGACAACAAATCCTGAAAAGCCAAAGCAGGTATGATAGAAGTAGAATATAATGAAAACATATCCCAAAGCACTAGAACTATTAAAATAAAAACCCCTACCCTATGATTACTAGTTCATAAATGGAAAGTATAAGAAAGAATCCATGAAGATAATTAATTTTTGATAAATCAACATAGTTTGTTAAATAACCAGAGACTATGAGAATCTCTCTCACATAAGCTAAAAAAATCTGGTAGCAATAATATTATCCACTCTTTATTTTTATCCTCACAAAGATTATTTATACTTTTAAAAATAAAAATTCTAATATACCTACCCTTATGAGCTAAATTGGTTCATTAACAAAACTAATCCAAAATCTATACTAATAAACTCAAAACTATAGACCCAAAAAAATCTTCGGTTATAACTGAAAACTAATTAATAATGGAAGGTAACCATTACCACACAAACTCATGGCCAATTTAGAATAGTCATTCTCTCTCGTAATATAGACCTAACCACCACCCATTAAAATATTAAACTTCATAGCCATCACAAGTCCCTGGCGGATATTTCACCAAAAGTCATCAAAAAGTTAAAGACTTTTTTTTTTTTATCAAAATCATTATCGTAAGACCAGACTCTACCTGAACCATTCCATAACATAAACTAGAGAATAATTGATTAATTTCACAAGAGAAGACATAAGGGAAAAAAAGCAAAAGATTAAGAACATAACAAGAAAACAAGAAAAAAACTAAAAAAAACTCTCCTCTTCTTAAGTTGTGATGATGGTGGTTGAGATTTATAGGGAGTTTTGGGACTAATTTTAGGCGATTTTATAGAAGTTTCGGGCTATGATTTAGGACGATTTGGTTCTATTTTTTCTAGGTTAATTTGGATGGGATCTCGAAACTACTGGTTTGAGTCTTAACTATTCTATGCTAGAATGATGGTGTTGTTATGCTGGTATGTGGCGGGTGTGAGAGAGAGAGAGGTATTGTGATTATTGGAAGTAAACGATGGTGGCTGAATTAAGACTAAAAAATCTAGATCAATAATGGTGGCTTCGGTTTTGTTCGGCTGGTGAGGGAGATGATAATGTGAGTCTCAGTTAAAGCTTGTTGGATGTAGAGACAATCATATAATAAAAAAGTTCAAGTTCAATCCATTAGATTCTTTGATTTGTATTATACCTTTAGCACCCTTGGTTAAAAGGAGTTCAAGCAAATAAATAGTATAGCAAAATAGAATCAAGTCTCCTTATAAGGCGAAGCTACAACAGATTAGAGGAAATCCATTTCATTCAAAAGAAGGAGAGCAAGATGGGCACTTGGTTGCCACCTTATTTGATTTTCCTAGAAAGCCTTTTACCTTTCTTTCCCAGCTAGATAACTTGAATATAAAAGAGAAAGACGAAGGGCTTATCAACATGAAGGAGAGATTTATAAGTGGTGATCGGCCTTGGTTAACTATGGTTGTCATTGTGAGGAGAGCTGGGCTAAAGAGGTTGGTGACTATGTGAGAGAGAGGGGAATAAGATGTAAAATAATGAATGCTAGGGTTTTCTGATTTTTCTTTTTTTTTATTATATTTTTTTAATTTTGTTTATATGGGATTGTGTTTTGAAAAGAATGAGCTTCTTAGTTATTATTTGAAATATAATGGTAGTTTTATAAATAAATATAGATTTTTTATAGATTTTTTCAGACACCAACTTCTAAAGATGTAAAGTGTTACCTCTCTTTAAATTTCAGGTTGCAAAATTTGATATTTAAAAATTTAATTACAATATATATATAATGTTGAAATTTTTTTAAACAAATTATAAGTTAAAGTATTGAAAACTGTGTTTTTTAGTTTTTTTTAATAGAAAAAATCATATTCAAACATAAAATTTTATTTTTTATTTTTTATTGGGATTTTTCTAGATAACATAGTTATTTTTTTCTCTGAATGAGACCTCTGTATATATATATATATATATATAAACAATTGTTTTGTTGTTCACATCATTTCACCTTCAATGTTCATGGTTGGTACAGACTTTTCCCCAACTCTTAAAACAAGATGTTTTTTTTTTCTATTAATGGTTCGTTGTTCCCATGTATCAATGATATGATAATTAATAGCATCGTATCCCTATTAGTCATTTCATCTGAGTGACAAACTAAACACAATTTGATGGCAATAAATAGCTTCCAGCTCGATCGCACCAATTTCGGACAAAAAGGAAAAGTACTATGTAATCATTTGTCTTCTGATGCCACTATTTCTACTGCAATTTCCTTTTTATTTTCTTTTTCCTGCATAAGATGTTTTCCTAGGGATATTTCTATTTTTCCTGCATAAGATGTTTTCCTAGGGAGTTTTCTCAAAGAGAATGAAATAATCCACAATTGATATATATCAAATTGGGTTTCTCCATATCCCACTTTGAAATACATATTCCAGCGTTGTACACAAAATAGAAAAAAATATTACAAACAAATAAATTTCAGTGAATTAGGAAAATAGTAATTAAATATTAGAGCAATACACTTTTTTTTATTAGATAAGATTAAGTAAAATCCTTAGTTAATAAGAGTAATGCTTGTGCGTAAAGTTTTAGATTTTTTTTTATAATAAAAGTGTTTGATCTTGAATAGAACTCTAGTGTTAGGTTAACTACAACTTGACACTTAAAATTTTTAATTTTTTAATTAGTTATTATTTTATAAAAGATTCAATTAACTAAAAGATTTATTTAACATATTCTCAAAGAATCATCTCAGTCCCTTCAAGCAAAAAATAAATATATAATTTATATTATTTTTTAATATACTTATTCAAGTAAAAGTTCTTTAAATTTAAAAATTATTCATACTCACACTATTTTGTACTTAATTTCTATCAAATAAAATAAAAGTGGAGGTGATAAAATTTAAATTCATAATCATTTGGTCAACAAAATTCTGATATTTTATCAAAAAAATTATATAAACTCAATAATTTAAATTATTAATTGAAACCCCAAAATATAATTTATATTAATCTATGATATATATATCATGAAACCACATTTGAAAAGATTATATGTGTTTATATTAGTCAAATGTTATATGAATTGGAAAATGTATAATCAACTATTAAATTCAAGAAAGCTATTGTTTATGTAGCTGGGTCAGAGATCCAATGACAGTTAATTCATAAGTAAATAATGTTAAGTAGATAAAACACATATATGAATTCAAAGTTGTTTAATTATTATAATAAACAACCATAGAAATCCTCTTAACAAGTAACTTAGAAAAACCATTAGCCTTTTTCCTATTATAAAAAAGGTAGAACAGCTTTTTTTTTCCTGTTCTAACAACAACACATGTTTTTATGTGCCAATGTTCAGGAATCTATATATGTTTGATGCGAGTGATTTGTGCAGTTGTTACATACAAAACCAAAGATCACATCAAATCACAACATTTACGGTTGTCTAGCTTTTTGATAATCAATTGGAAACTAATTATTATTGTTCAATTATATCATCATTTCAATTTGTCTTTTTCCATCTAGAAGTTAGAGATTAGCATCATTATCAAGCTATATGCATAAAGAAAAAACTATGAAGCACTTTCAATATAATATATTGTTCTCTCATTCAAATAAAAGTGATATCTAGTATAATATACTATCATCTATATATAAATTTCACCCCCTTTTTTTTGTAAATTAAAGAGATCTAATAATCTTTTTGCACAAAAGTACTCACCCGTGGAGTGTAATCACATGAGTTTTGAGCTGATAAAAGTATAGTCCGAGTTACAAGCATGAATCAAAACCATGTACCATACGCACCTCTAGGCATTCATAATTAACCTTTTTCCCCCTAACATCATCAATTTCCACATAAATATATGTATAATTCTACGTAAATGAACATCCATGCACATAACAACAACCAGCAAGGCAAGTAGAATTCATGATGACATCCCTTGTTAGATATTGGAGTGGGTAATCAGAGGCCTATATAGGTATAAAACCTAGATGATTTAGACTAATTATATTCTACATAATGAGCAAATATCCATGCACCTCCTCTGTCATTTCTCATAAATAAATAAAGGAAATCAGTCCCTGAAAAGAATCAAACATGCATCCTGATTAATTAACCATATTGTACAGTTCTTGTGTGAGGAAGCTCTGAGAGAAATACCTTTTGTGTTGGGGTCAGTGTTCCGCACCGTTAAAAATCAGTCTTGAAAGCTTGGGTTCTGCGTCTCTCCAAGTTTATAACAAACAATAATGATGATGACCACCACCCTCAAAAACAATTATTACTTTTAAAAAAAAAAATACTACCCAAAGTAGGGATCCTTCTATATATAAATTCTAGGGTGACTGATGGTTCAGGAGAAGGAGCATGCAGCCTCCGTTTCCCCACGCAAAAAACATAACAAGCAGCCATGGGGGTCCATAAAATTCCACGCTCTTAATTCTTATTTTTTTTCCTAGTATTACTTTCTTTATTTTTTATTTTTGCATGGATGTGCGTGGGCCTGCTTCTATGTGGGTCCCAAATCCCTGACTGCGCGTGCAAAGCCGGAGTTCATGGGGGCTCCATTGTGGTCCCCACTTTAATCAACACGTATTCTTCTCTGCTTTTATATGTATATATATTATTTTCTATTGCAGTTGCCACCGTCCTTCTTTTTTTTTTTTTTTTCTCCTTTTACTAATTAATGATCCTCATTTCGAGCACACACCTTTCGAGGTTAATTAATCAAATGCATGTACTTTGTTTTTTAAAATTTAAAAAAAAAAAAAAAACCAAGTAGTAGAGTGCCGAGACATCAAAATTACATTTTGTTTCTATGTGCAATATTTGAACTTTGTGGGCAGAGGGTGACCCATGCATATCCTAGTTCATGTAGGGGAGGGAATATGATCTTGGCTTTATTAATGATTTTGGAACATGAATGGATTTGTCATGGTTGAGTCACGTCGACGTTTGATTTATCGTCAAAATGTAATAAATAAAAAGTAACAACTAACTAAAAAAAATAAAATGTCTGTCTGTGTGGCAACGGGAGTCTTTGCCAAGATGGCTCCGCACTTTGGAGGGGCACAACCTTTTCATAGCATTGTCTTGTAACATAGCATGGTGTACGTGTATGCCTCCCACTAGCTGTAATAATATGTTCTTTGATGAGATGGATCATCTTTGATATGGTCAGTCAATCATCCAACTGCGTATAATCAAATACTAACGTTCAGGAAGAAGTAAGAGGTCAGCACGCTTTTCGTTTTTTTTTGCTTCCTTGGATTATAAGGTTAAGATCTTAATTGTATGGCATGAGATGTTATTGTGAGAAATAAAATTTGTGGTGGCTTTTTTAAAAACTTAAACAAGTGACTTGACTGTTTCAATGTGCAAGGCGGAATTAGACCGTTGCAATTTAAAACATTTGGTTTCATTTGTGACTTCAAGTCAATGCAAGGGTTATCTTTTTTTTTGGAAGAATTTTATATATTAAAAGGGCTAATCAGAAGCTAGTCAAAACAATACAAGAGTTATCTCATCGGATATTCATAGACTAGGAGATTGTTCCTTTTTTTAAGGCAACAGCTACCTGTATATTTATGTCTATGAAGACTATACGAGCAAGATAACTCCAGTGGGTTGATGTTATCTGTCAAATATTGTTCCCTTTTTTCTTCCCTTGATAGTTACGTCCATGTAATGTAACTTCAGAGCATGGTCAAGAGCTAATTAAAAGTGGTTTTCAAGGAAGGAAGAAAATTCCTTCAAGTTATTCCCATACAATATATATACAATCTCCTGTGAAAGTGCTGTTTTTTAGGTGAAAACAAGCTTACGAGGGTAATGCTACTCGAAGAAAGAACCATCTCAATTCTCAGTAATCCAATGAACACACTTCCATCTCAAGGTGTGTGTGGCTACCTCTCCACCCTCCGCACACGGGAGAGGCAAAAAAAAATAATGTTGGGAGTGTTAAATATGAGACTTCATGGATATGAATTGTCAGATTTTACCCTTTGGGCCATCTCAAAAAATGATGTAGATACTGTCGCCATTGTGAAGCTTCGTTACAGTACTGATGGTGCAGCGATGAGAGGAATAGAGTGGGCTAATAGATAAGTTTAACCAATAGCCCACGCTAGCGTTAAAGAGCTTTCCATAAAGGAGAAACAAACCGGGAAATTGTGAATGTTTTCTCCGCTTGCCTTGTTAGTTAATGGCATCTTAGAGGACCACCAGCCTGCACATGGCTCCTGAAATGGGGCATCCTTTTTCCATGTTCTAATTATTCTGATGGCCGATGCTAAGCTTGCCAGAATGGCTAGTTATTTATAGTAACAATAATTTTGTAAGAGTATCTCCAGTCCTTGAAAAGCTAAATTGATAAAATAGCATTTTAAATAGTATAAATATAATTTATCTGCTTTTCAATTTTGTAAGAGTATCTAAATTGATAAAATAGCATTTTAAATAGTATAAATATAATTTATCTTACTATATTTATTCGAATGAAAAAAAGTTATTTGAAAAGCCATTTATATTAGAGTGAAAAAAATAAGTATTTTATTATTTCTTAATATTGTTTAATGTTATTTTTTTTTCACATGTCTAAATTTAATTAATTTTTTTTTTAGTGGTCCTACTTTGTTGGTTTTAGCTCTTTAAAGAGATATATAAAAATAGCATTTGTGAAAGAAAAAAGGCATTTTAGTATTTTGTTTAGCTTTTCTAATGAAGTGTGCAAAACAAATAAAGAAAAGCCAACATATTAATTTTTTATTTTTGGTTATCCATTCTCTACTGGAGATGCTCTAAGGATAATAGTCACGCTGTTATCCATTCAATATTTGAGACTCTCAGACGGCTTTAGCCAACTGACAAAGGGAGCAAGACGTTTAGTAAACCTTCTCTCAAGATCACAAGCTGAAAGAGAAGGACCAGAATACCTTGCAGTGAGATATATTCCACTCCATGACATATGGTTTCTCTGAGTCACTTCACTTTCCTGGAAAAACACGTTAAACCGAGAACAATCAAGGAACAGATGAAATTAAAATTCTAGGGTTATCAACCATATGCTTTAAAATAACTAATATGAAGTCATTGAGGAATCATTTTACTCGATGATAATCTTACTTGTCAGTTTGTGTCTGTCCTTGCTAATTCTGAAAGCAAGGTGAGGTCGTTTTCATGAACTCTCCAACAAGGATAGCTTCCTACTTTTTATCATTTAGAAATGTCTCAAGAAATTTAGTCCAAAAGAGGGACGCTCTATTCAATCTTGCAAAGTTATGGATATAAATGTGATTTAAGCTTTACTCCACTTTCGCCCTCTTGTGAGATAGATGAGACTAAAAAATTATGGTTAGTAAGACAAAATTGAAACCAAGTCAAGTAGTAATTCATGTATTCATTGACATGATTAGTTTAAACCAGGGGATAGTGGGAGAAATAGAGCATCCAATCGTTATAGTTGGTTTGTCAATTCTATTCTGAAGCAAAATTCACCAACATGGGTTCCCTAATCTGTAAGTTTAAGTATTGCTCTCTTAAGGCTTTGTCAAGCAAAATGAGCTAGAAGTTTGCTCTAAAATTAATAAAAAGGAAAATCCAGTTCATTACAAGCTTTCAACAAGGGAAAAAAAACCAAACAAATCTAGCTGCCTTGACATTTCTGGAATTGATATCCACCCATCTAATTTGATGCCTACATGACAGACGATGGAAACCTTTATGATTTTAAATGTGAAGCACATATTTGAAAAGCCCTGTCTGTCTTCATGATGAGAGAACAAAGCACGGTGGATACCATTAGCTTTTGCAGAATAACACAAATCACGAATAATGGTAGTAGCTGTTCTGGACAAGGTAAAAATGGCAGCACTAGACATAAACACATGATGTTAGCAGAACTGAGCTATTCAACCAATGGGGGCAGGGGCAAGTCAGAAAAGATAGTTCTCTTCGGAGATAATTCCAAGTCCAAAATCAACCACAAAACAGTAAGCGGGAATGTGGAAACATCTGCATTACCATAGCATTTCATCAAGTAAGAAATTGGGATATAATGAACTTGTTATCATGGCAATTTTTCACCATTCTCTATGGGCTATAACGTGATTTGAAAGATGAGAAGGCATCTCAAGAGTCAAAACATCAATAATGTTAAGAGATTTATTTGGGACATGACTAACAAATCAGAAGTGCAAAGCAGTGCACCGAGGATTCCAATATCCAAAACTTTTCCAAAGTGACATGATGCCTACTATCATGCACGAGTGGAAGCATGAAACATTCAGATGCAAATTGCAATATAATAATAATTGCCAATATTCACACTCTAGAGTGACATATCACGAATATCATCCATAATGAATTTAAACAATGAAGGATCTGAATGAAGCATGAGCAAGGTTCCCAAGGACAAATGTTGTGGCCAACGAGCACCATATTCTCATTTTAATCTAAACATTATCCAACTTGTGAATAGATTTAAATAAAGATTTCCCATTGCCCGCAACTTTGAATAGAGCATGAAAATGATAGATGATGCTAAATCCATAGGAATGGCTGATGCTAAATCCATGGAAATGGCATGCTTGTCAAGAACTATGATTACAAATCAAAACATACTCCGGAAAAGCCAATAGCACATTATCACTGTGGAATACGTAGTATTCTAGTCACTCCTTGTACTGGCAACAATGATTATGAAATTTTGAGTAGAAACGGTTTGTGGACAATGTACTTACAGGGCCTCCACAAAGTATCACACGCATGGCAATTGGCTGTGTTCTTAATTACTTCTTAATCTCTCTTCAATCTACTCATAACTATTTTGTAGCCACCACAACAAAAGACAATTAGCCTTTTCATTTCTAATTATATCCTGCTCCCATGTCTTCAAATTCTTCGTAATTATCCTATGAATTTGAATTTTGCTATTAACTTTCACAAACTTATTTCTTTCTTCTCTTTTCTTTCATTTTCCTCTCTCCCTCCCTCTAACTGCACACACATCTTCATTGCTACCGCTGACATTACATCTTCATCACTACCATCAACATTTTTAAGCGTTCACAAATTTATTTCTTTCTTCTCTTTTCTTTCATTTTCCTCTCTCCCTCCCTCTAACTGCACACACATCTTCATTGCCCCCCCCCAAAAAAAAAAAAAAATCTACAGACTTACATCTTCTCTACTTTTCTTGATTTTAACAGCACGCACGTCTCCCCTTTAAACCATTTAAATCTGACTTTCTCATCCCTTTCTATTTCTTCCAACTTGGTAGCGATAACCTCTTTAGAAAAGTGGAAAAAAAAAGGCAAGAAGTCTGCAAGAAATAGAGAATATCTAAGAAATAGTAAAAACCATAATCAGTAAAGTTCCATAGCGTAAGAGAGTTATTCACATTCTTATTCTTCTTTTTTCCCTTCAATACTCATATGGGCCATAACTGTTTAATTCATAAATATGCCCACACGCATACCAGTGCTGGGGAATGAATTTCTTCATTTTTGTTTATTGCATAAAATAAACAATGACTTAATTCAACCAAGTCTCTCCAGGACAACTTCAATAATCAAAAGTAGATGATTCAACCAACATAAAACATGGATGATCCATGGTAACATATTTATGTAACAAAAGTTTGGAAGAAAAAACTCTAGTTGCAAATTGTCATAGCTGCTTTGGAAAAGACCATCAAAGGCTGTGCTTTGAAACCAACTTTATTATGTTTGAACAAAAATGAGAGGCAATCTGAGTCCAAAAGCTTCAATAAAAACTTATTATTGTATACATATAAATCCCAACCACAAGAATGATTAAATATCTCCATCCACGAAACTTGCTTAGTGATAATACTTCTTTTTCTTCTCGTTTTTATGGCCCAAAATCAACTCAACAAGGAAAGTGGTACAGTACCCTAATGAAACCTGGAAGATGCATCATGTACATATATCAGGGCAGTGCATCAAAGTACCAAGCTTCAATGTTATGAGTTCACAAGTTCAGATGATCAATAACAACTTTAAAAAGCAAACAAGATAAACACTTTCAAAACCAAAATTCTAAAGTTGAATCATATTTCAAGAGAAAAGAGGCAGCTCACTCGCTTACCCTTGTGCAAGTTTAAAGTGTTTGTGTAAGTATACAGTCCCTCAGCAAAGACAGTTGAGAGGCACTTTCATCAGCTAGACTAGTCAAAATAGGATGATCAGCAAGAAAATCCAAGAGGAACCGTCAAGCACTTTTCTTAAACACGTGCATCTGTTATAAAGCCACGTCCTTCTCAAAGGCAATAAATTTGTCCAGCAGTTGTGAATAATTGGGGATGCATCAAATCAATCACTCAATACAGAGTTCAGAAGTTCCTAACTATCCTAAACCAAATTAAAAAACACCACTTCAAGAAGATCAATTAATATATTAACAGGTCTTTATAGAGCCATACCTCCAAACCTCGCACACTTCATTTTCTAGGGGCAAGAATCCATCCTTTGTGAATACCGAAGCTGCAAGAATATTTGAGGTCAATGATGAAAATTCCAAATAACAATATCAGATTCTAACATCTTTTTTTCTCGTTCAGCTCTAAGAAAATAAAACAGAAAATTCAACACTTGACACTTTTGTGCAGAAAATGATAAGCAAAATTAAAGATAACATTTCCAATCATGATGCAAAAAATAATGCTTGAATCCAGTCAGCCAATTAAGATAATAAATGAAGTTCTCAATTTATTATAAGTAAAGCCCTTTGCATTCTCAATATACCGTTTCCTGAAACCCAACTATCACGACTACCAAATTGCTCAACTAAACATCACCCCCTAACTCTTGTTGATTTAGATGATTCTACTGAAAGCATAAGAGGTCAAAACTTTTCCACAATTTGAGCATCTTGTTGAGCTGCCAATTCTTACAACATAAATTAGCACACAAAATTGCCAGTGCACAAAATTAGCAGTTCATTGTAATTAGTAGAAAAAATAATCCATTGAGATACACTAGAACTAGTCCCTGTGCAAGATTAAGTCCTTCCCACATATTTCTAGAACAAACAAATTATGCTATTTCATGGATTTAACTGGCAGAGTTAACTAACCATGAATTTCTCTGATCGATCTCATTTTCCTTGAATCCCCACACAATTAATTTTGTGCATAGAAGCTGGAGGCCACAGAGAAGTATAAAGGCCAAAAATAGTATCATCAACAAAGCAATTAGCAATTTTAAGAATGTGGTACCAAAAATAAACAAATTATTCACGCAACATTTGTTTGCATTTAGGAACATGTGTGCTTGTTTACCAATTAAATCTTATGATCGGAACCCCCAAACTAAACTGTATCATAAAAAGTTAGAAGAGGTTGTTTCGCTATTTTTGTACCTTTTGCATCTGAGCTGACATATGGCTGATGCACAACTGCATTTTAGTGGTCAGAGTTTAACAGTGAACGGACATAAATTATTATGGATTTGCTTTCATGGCTATAAAGCAGAAAGTTTAGTCCTCCTCCTAATATGCGAACCAACATGATAAGGAACTTTATCAAAGCGATGTAAATTCTAGCTCCAAAAAAAATCAAAATCTATATTTGCAAGTCAATCACCAATAGCCGACACAAGAGTAAATCCCCTCCTGAAAATGATGGAAATGGTTCCTATCTCTGATAATGATATCTCAGCGCACAATCTTTGACATTTATTTTATTGCAGTATGACTGCCAGCACATAGACGGAGATTCTTTATAATGTGAACATGGCATATGGATGGAATTCTAATTAGACCATATGCTAAAGCTAGTCTTTCACAGTGGACCCACAACCACTGTTCCTTATCAACATCGTCCACATCAGATAATCAGGAACATGACCTTCATTCCAGGCTTTCATGTTCAACCACTTCAGCATCCCCTTAATCATTTTGTGTGAGGATGTGAAATGTCTCCTAAAGAGAAATAATGAAACCCCACTGTGGTTCACAATCCAACTTAGGCCCGGTTCTTTCGTGACTCCTTTCCTTTTCATGCTTCTTCTAATGGAAGCCACATTTCCCCACTTCCTTGCAATAGCATATTTGTTTGACAATGATGCATATGTTGCCTTATCTTCTGGTTCTATCTCAAGAACACACTGGGCAGAGATTCTTCCAAGTTCAACATCATATGAACGACACAAGCGCTGAGTAAGGACCGCCACACCATAACACTAGGCTCAAATGGGATTTCCTTGACCAACTTAACAGTCTTATCAAGATGACCCAATCTCCCAAAAATCCAAACCATACATGTAGTGCTCTGCGCATGGTTCAATGCCATAATCTTTTATGATAGATTTAAAATAAGCTTGTCCTCTATCGAAAAGTCCTGCATTGCTACATGCTGACCGGATACCAACAAAAGTTACCTTGTCTGGTTTACACTCTGTTTCCTGCATTAATTCAAAAGCTTTGAGAGCTTCCCTACATAGCCCGTGCACAGAATATCCTGCAATCATAGCACTCCATGACACTTGATCACATTCCCTTAGCATGTTAAACACTAAACGTGCATCTCTAATGCTTCCACACTTGGCATGCATATCTATCAAAGCATTTCCAACCACAGTGTTCTTGTCATAAATAGTTTTCACTAGCAATGAATGACTGTCTGTCTGGTTCCATGGCAGCAATACCAGAACATGCATGGAGCACAATAGAGTATGTCACTTCCGATCCCTGAACTTGGCATTCAAGCATATCTCTTACCATTGCCAGCCTGCACATAGCCATCAATCACCCTATTCCAACTCATATCAGTACAATTTCGAGATTCCAGAAACAGTTGCATTGAGTTCTCCATTCTTCCACATTTTGCATGCATGTCCATTAGAGCATTTGGATACAAATACATTTGTATCTAAACCAACATTTAACTATATGGTAATGGATTTGCTTCCCGAATTGCAAATCCACCAAGCTCGCAAATGCTTGCAGCAAACTAGCAAGCGTAATCTGATTAGGAAGCACCAAACCTTGCCTCATCTTGCAGAACAACGCAATGGTCTCTTCACTATGCTGGCTTAGAGGATACTGGGCGATCATAAAACTCCATGGAATCACCTTTAGGCATCTGTTCAAACACACGTAAAGCATCATCAACATCTCCAGAATTAATATACAAGTCCATCAATTCAACACCGAAAAAAAGTTCTTCCACATAAGATGTTTTAAAAGCATGTCCATGTACAGCCTTTCCAACATCAAACACCTCCAACCCAACACAAGCCTTCAACATACTCGCAAAAATAAAATTACTTGGTTTAAACCCAACAACTCTCATCTGCAGAAAAAAAAAATGCTTCAAAGACTCTTCAAAGCACTCATTCTCCGCATAACAAGTTACCATCAATCAAAGCAGTAACCCCAAAGGCGCAAGCTTACAAACACAAGCATTGGCACTAAACCCCGATTCAGTACACTCAGCAATAACAAGCAACTTCAAAACAGTACTAAAAACAAAAGGGTTAAGCTCATGACCTTCTCCATGAAACCTAGAAAACAACCAGATAGCATCGTAAGATCTAAAACGCTGATTATAACCTTGAATCAAAGTAACAAACGACACCGTATATCATCAGGCATTTCATCGAACACCATAGCTGCATCAACCTATGAGTCGTATTTTACATACAAAAATTAAAGAACGCTGTTCGCAAGCAAGTCTAAGAAATTTCCCTTCTTTATAATCTCACAGTGGAGAGATTTTCCGGTGGTTTCGTCACCCTATTGGATACAGCTTTGAAGTAAAGAACCGTATTTGTAAGTGTTGGTTTAACACTGATTTGGAATTGGAAATTGTAGTGTTTAGAGCGAAGCAGTGTGATCATGCGCTTTCGTTTTTTGTTAACAAAAAATCGAAAAGGGTAAACGGAAGGAAGAGCATTATGTTAAACGGCTATGGTGGAGGGAGAGATCCCCGGGGTTTTGAAATGAATGGGGGTGACTGAGATCCGACCCCTAGTTTTGTCCTGCCATTTGGCAAAACGTACTGTGTGGTCCGTACCGTGCTGGGCCACCTCGTTTTTTGTCCCCCTCCATTATACTGCCTCATTTTATTACGATGTTTACTGAGCAATTTTTTGTTTAGTACAGTGATACATAGTTGATTTTAAAACAAATTTGCTTTAGAATATATTCAAATAAATATTTTTTAAATTTTAATGTTAATATATTAAAATCATCATAAAATATTAAAAAAATATTAATTTAATAATTTTTTGTATCAAACACCCGTTGAAAATACACATAAACATAGTTTTGACTAAAAAAATCAAATTTATACAATTTAACAACCTCATTTATTATTTTCAAATTACATGTGCATTTGTAGCATTAATGATTGTGAGAACATGGTTTTTTCTTAAGATTAAGAGCAAAAAAATTGTAAGACAGTCCCAAAAAAAATATTCTAATGCATTAAAAAAAATTAATATAGCAAGAGGAGTGAAGGAAAAAATAAACCAATTCCTACAAGGAGAGGAGGAGGTGCGAACCCGCTTCCTAAGGGAGAGAGGGCACACCTCCTCTCTAAAATCGTGCCTCTCACATCTGTTTCCTTCCTTCTCACAGAGTTTCAGCATCCTTCCTTCTATACATGTTTCTTTCTTTCTTTTTTTCCCAACCTACACCCTCTTTTAAATTTCTTTCTAATACTTTTTTAAAAAAATTATTTTTAAAAAATTATTTTTTAATTTTTTTATATTTATTTGATATTAAAAAAATTAATCAACAAAAAATACTTTTTAATCAAAAAAAAATTAATTTGATTTCTAAAAAAATATTTTTTTAAAACATTTGGACGAAAAACACTTTTTGAAAGTTATGAAAAATTTAGAAATATTATATTATTTACTGATTATATCAAATTTGATACTCAAACTTTTCATTCCTCTATATATTTTGTTTTAAATATTTATTATTCAATTTTATCTCTTAAAATTTAATTTTTTTTATTAACTTTGGTCCTAATTTTTATAATTAGTATTTGTTTTTTTTTATTATTTTTTTATTAAAATTTTTTATCTATCAAATTTTATCCTTATTTTTTTATTGTTACTTATTTTATTTGAAATAATTTAAGAAATGTTGGTATTATTATTTTAATTTTTTCATCTTTTATTATTTTTTATTTTTTAGATTTGATCTCTATTATTTTGATTATTATTTATTTTATCTGAGATAATTTATGAAATTATATTTTTTTCAATTTCATTTTCATTTAACTTTTTAATTTGTAAGATTTGTTTCTTATTATTTTAATAAATTTTAAAAAAATAAAATATTAATAAGTTAGTTTTCAATTTATTTTTCAATTTATTTTTCATGACCTAACTAAATATTAGAAAGTATTTTTTAATTTATTTTTCATTATACTATTAAACATTAAAAAATAATTTATTTTTTTATAATTCACTTTTCAAATCTAAGCAAACAACGGACGGAGCACACTAAGAGTTATCTATATTTTGAGCATTCTCCATGATTGAATGCTTGTTCACGTAAAAGGATTTCATGGCAAATATCCATAAAGAAATCATCAAAAGATAAAAGATTTACGTAAGTTTTTCACATAAAAGAGAAGAGTGTGTGTCTTGCTCAAAGGGAGAGCGAGCGGGCATCTGCTCCAAAGACGAGAAGCTGCGCGCCTGCTCCAAAATTGAGCAGGTGTGCATCCTGAGTAAATAATTTTGCTCCTCTTACGTGAATATTCGTGTTTGTTTTTTCTATTTCTCTCTAAGATGTAATTTTCACGTTCCTAACTTGTCTTTTGAACCAACACTATATCTGGTATTTTTCCTCTCATGTTGTTACTTGAAGAAATCATCAGGAATCCACCTTTAGGCATGAAGGTTTATTTGTGAGCTTTGGATGCATGCAGGGTAGCTAGGGTCAATGGAGAGTGATGTGAGAGGGTGACTTGGTAGGATCAATGCAAGATTCGTCAAGGATTTTAGAATTAAGATATTAACCTTTCTTTGACAAAGAGATTATAAACAAAATATTTTACATATAATATAGTTTTCACGATGAGATGACGATAATTGCAGAGAAAATGATGGTGAGGTGATGAAAAATAAGGTAGTGGTGGAGAAGTTGGTCTTGATAATAATTAAAAAAAAATGGTTAAAAAAATAGGGATCGTGGCTGAAATGATTATATCGTAAATGAATTATTATTTATAAAATATTTTATAAAATTTTATTATCTAAAACTATTTTTCATCACAAAAAACTAAGTTTAAAGATTAATTTAAAAATATTTTTTATTGGCTAGTTTTTCCTATAAAATATTTTATGAAAAATAAACAAATTAAAATATTTTAAAAAATATAAAAATATCTAAAAAATCATTTTACTTAAAACAAACAAACACTATAAAGTATAAACTCGACCCTTCTCATTGACCTTCTTACTCAAAGGCATTATCTGCCACCAAAGTTTCCTCACTAATAACCCTACAAATTTCTCAACTATACAATGATAAATTTTTTATTAGCTAATAATTAAAAAATATAATCGTAACCATACTATAAAACAAGATAAACATCCCGCTGAAAAAGCCTGTCGATACGCAAGCCATGTATTGTACCCGCACAGACTCCTCATAGATCATGCTGCTATCAAATTATAGCCTAACTCATCAATTTAATTATACTCGTGCAAGAGCTCGCTTTTTTTTTCAATGGCCACTTCAAATTCAGAATTTCTTTCATTAAAGAAAAGCTAGTAAAGTAGCTAACTAACAGACTCCATTGAACCCTATTTAAAAGTGAAAATAGTTAATAAACATATAACTTCAAGAGCATACATATTAAAAAAAATGTAAGAGTTAGAGTGTGGGAGCCTAGAAGTTGTTGGAATTTGTTTTAATAAAACAGACAAATTTGATGTCAAATTTAAAATGAAATCCTCTTATTTTTAGAGTTAAAATTTTATTGCAAATTATGATGTCAAATTTAAAATGAAATCCTCTTAGAGTTAAAATTTTATTGCAAATTGTTCTCCAACAAAATTTCATTAACATAAAACATTATTATGATTAAAATAAATGATAGATAAATAAAAAAATTAATCTAAAAAAACCATTAATTAACATATTTATATAAAACACAAGATCTTATATCCCACGTAAAAATATATGATATTTTTTATAGTTTATATAGTGAAAAGTTAAATAATTACAAATAAATTCTAATTATTAGAGAATAATATAAATTATATCCCGAGACCTTACCTAATAGTTTAAGCTAGGTGAGATGGTTCTTTAACATGGTATCAGAGCCTTGATAACCAAATAATCTCAAGTTAGAATTTCACTATCTCTATTTATTTGATAAAAATTAAACACAAGATAATATAAGTCTATACAAGTTTTGAGCTAAAATGTATTTATTTGATAAAAATTAAGCACAAGATAATATGAGTCTATACAAGTTTTGAGCTAAAATGATTTTCACTTAAGGAGGTGTGTTAGAAAATATTATAAATTATATCCTAGAACGTTACCTAATAGTTTAAACTTTTGAGTGAGATAGTTCTTTGACATTAACAAAGTAATATGAATTTAACCAAAAGCACTAACCTATTTAGACTTGGATTTAAGTTTATTATAAAAATATTTTTTTGACATGTAATGAATTATTTTTTGCCAAACTATTAGCATGTCCAATCCAAGAAGAAAATTTGATAAGTTTTTTCAATAACTTGAATGGTTTCAAGAAATTTTTTCAACTCACAAAATTAAAGCCAAAACTTTTAGAATTAATTATAATTTTATGATAGGTAATCAAAGCTAATAACAAAAAGAATTAATATTTTATTAGTTTTATTTCCAAAATCTATTATAAAAGATGGGTTGAAAAAAGAGTTTACACACTTTTTTTCTAGATTTTACCGCTCTTCTTCACCTCAATTTTTAGTGTATTTCCTCTTTATTTTTAAGATTTTATTTTTCTTTTAATTTAGAGTTTAAGTTTAATTTTTATAGAGATGTACTTAAGTTGATTTTTTTATATTCATAAACCTTATTTAGAAGTATATCTAAAAGTTGAAATCTTAGGTGGTTTATTATAAACATGATATTTACATAGAATAAAAGATAATAAAACTTTAAAAATATAAAATTATTATTTAATAACAACAAAGTTTTATTATATTTTAGTGATTTGACAAGTATACATCTTTATTTGATATAATTTATGTTTTTATATATTACATGATTAACATTGTTGTTAAAATTGTATACTAGTGTCTTGTGCAGGTTTAAATATATATTTAATATGTATATTATAAATTTTATATGATTTTTTTAATTTTAATTATATGCATGTAAACTAAATATTCATTCTCACTGTCAATAAATTTAATTTATATAAGTATTATTATCACATCGGCATGATAACTAGGCATCTTGCCATGTTATGAGATCAACAAGGCAAAATCATTAAATATATCTTTGTATTTATGTTAATTATTTATTTTCACTCATTTGTTTTAAATATATACAATTAACCTAGTGTTCTTTGAATTTACTCAATTAATATTTATTAGTTATGGATTTAATGAATTAACCCGATAATTGATTTGTATCAAATCTCAACTTTACTATATATGGATAATATATTGTTAGATAATTTTTACTTGTGAGATAAACTTTTGTTATATTCTTATAGACCTATATTATCAAATAAGTTATTTTAAAAAAATAAATTGATATATTAATAAATTATTGTCGAGATAATTTATATGGTGATATAGGTTCTTCATAATCATAAAAAGCCATCTCATAATAGAAAGTGTTTAATCCCACACAATTAGCACGCCCATTTAACACAATGATTTTATAAAAAGCTATTTATTGAAGTAATCAAACATATTCAAAGAACATGAAAGTTAATCAAATGAAATTAAGGAAATCAGGAGTTAATCGACTAAATTTAACACACAAGAATAGAAATAAATAAATGACACAAAAGCAGGGCTGATTTCGAGGGTTTTTCCATCACA